ATGTGGAAACTGGATTGGAGGAAGACTCATTAACAACCTGTGATATGCAGATGATACAAGCTTGATTGCTGAAAGTGAAGAGAACTTAAAATATGTATTGATGAAGATCAAAGACCACAAACTTCAGTCTGGATTGCATCTCAATGTAAAGGAAACAAAAAGTCCTCACCACTGGATCAATAAGTAACAACATGATAAATGGAGAAAAGTTTGAAGTTATTGAAGACTTCATTTTGCTTGGATGCACCATCAACAATCCTGGAGGCAGCAGTCAAGAAATTAAATGACGTATTGCACTAGGCACATTTGGTGCACAAGAACTCTTTAAAGTGTTCAAGAACAAAGATGTCAATTTGAGGACTAAAGTGTGCCTGACCTAAGCCATGGTATTTTCAATACCCTCAAATGCATATGAAAGTTGGACAGTGAATAACAGAGGCCATAGAAGAATTGATACATTTGAGTTATGGTGTTAGAGAAAAGAATATTAAAGGTACCAAGGATTGCCAGAAGTTGGAGGAAGTGCAACCAGGAAACTCTTTAGAAGCCAAGATGACCAGACTTTACCTATCATACTTCGTCCATGTTATCAAGAGGGACCAGTCCCTGGAGAAGGACATCATGCTTGGTAAAGTGGAGTCTCAGCTAAAAAGAGGGAGATGCTCAACAAGATGGATTGACACGGTGGCAGCAGCTATAAGCTCAAGCATAGCAGGAATTGTGAGGATGTTGTAGGATCAGGTTGTGTTTCTTTCTGTTATGTGGGTTGCGGGTTGTTAGGAATCAGAATCTACTAGACAGCACCTAACAATAACAACAAGAAGTTTTGGATATGCTTCATACTATTTTTTGAAACCTCTGATGCATCTTCAGGTATGTACTCCTGTTCATTTACAACACTGTTTTTTAATTTCTCTTTATACATCTTGATCATTCTCAAATATTTTCAAATATGAGGTGACATCAAAAATTTGTGGAAAACATTAAATTAAAAGATAATGGAATTTTCCCCACAAACTTTTGAAACCCACTTTAATACGTTTTGTTTGCAACTAACTTTTAGCCATTCTTATTCTAGCTTCTTAGACCATTTCCCTATTTTCTTTAAATACTTTATTGTGATTTTGATGAAAGTTTATATAAAAACTTAGGATCCTGTTTAATAATTTCTATACTTATTGGTCAGAAGCCCTGATAATGCAGTGGTGAATCTCTTGGTTGTAAAAATCAGTGATTCAAAACCCCCAGCAGCTCTATGGCAGAAAGATGTGACCGATTGTTTCCTTTGCCTTGGAAATTGGAAACCTATGGGATGGTTCTACTCTGCTCTATAAGTTCACTATGAATTGGAATCAACTTAATGACAAAGGTTTTATTTTGGGAGTCCTGGTGTGGCGCTGTGGGTTAATGCGCCAGACTGCAAAGCTGTTTCAACTGCAAAGTCGGCAGTTCAAGCTCACCAGCTGCCCCTTGGAAACCCTATATGGAGTCACTATGGGTTGTAACCCACTCTATGGCACTTAATAATAAAAACAACAATTGTATATGAGTCCTGGTGTGGCACTCTGGATTAATGCTCCAGACTGTAAAGCCATTTGAACTGCTAGGTTGGTGGTTCAAGCTCACCAGATGCTCTTTGGAAACTTTATGCAGAGTTGTTATGAATCAGAACTAACTCGATGGCACTTAACAACAGGAACAACATTGTTTAGTGAAATTGATTAGAGTCATTGTGTCAGCATTCTCATTATTTCCTTTCTGGTTGTTCCATTTCCATTCATCTAGTTTCCTTGTTCCTCCAGACCTTCTTATCTTTGTTTTAGGGTAACTGACATTTGGTTTCATGTAGGTAATTTTTTAGGTGTCACAATAGTCACAAGTGATATTATTTGTTTTATAAGCCAATCTGATACTTAACTGAAAGGTGATCCCAGAAGTGATTTTAGTGCAATATACTTACTTTTCTTATGTAAGCATGTAAATAACTGTATTGCCTTATACACATTTTTCAACAGTATCCTTAGAGTTTTAAAATAATCTTTTAATATTTAGAATCAGTATCTTTACATGTAAGGAGTCCTGGTTGGCTCTGAGGATTAATGCGCTGGACTGCAAGGTTGATTTGAACTGCAATGCTAGAGATTCATGCAGGGTCCCTATGAGTTGGAACCTATTTGATGGCACTTAACAACAACAAACCACCACTCATCTGTTAGTTTGTCGTACTGTGGTGGCTTGTGAATTGCTCTGATTCTGGAAGCTATGCCACCAGTATTTTAAACCAGCAGGGTGACCTATGGTGGACAGGTTTCAGATGAGCTTCCAGAAAAAGGCAGACTAGGAAGAAGGAGTGATGAACTACTTCCAAACATTTAGTCACTGAAAACCATATGAACAGCAGAGAAACACTGTTAGATACAGTGCAGGGAAATGAGCCCCTCAGGTTGGAAGGACTCCCTGGTAACCATCAAAGAATGTTTCTGCATGTAAACCTCTTCCTGTGTTTTTGTAATGGTGGCTTCATACAATATGTATATATTTGTGATTGATTTATTTCACTCAGCATAAGGTCTTTCATGTTAAGTCATGTGATGAGACATTTCACTGATTCATGGTTATTCTTTGACATTGCATGGTATTCCATTGTAAGGTATGAATTACATGGTATAAACCATTTTGTTTATCTATTCATCAATTGTTGGGCACTTACGTTGTTTCCATTTTTCTGCTGTTGTGATAGTGCTGTGATGAACATGGGTGTGTATATATCTATTTGTGTCACAGCTATTGACTCTATAAGATGTGTACTTAGTAGTAGGATTGTTGAATCAGATGGTATCTCTATTTCTAACGTTGTTAGCAAACCACCATGTTGCTTTCCTTGTGGTGGTACCATTTTACAATACCACCAGCTGTATATGAGAGTTGCAGTCTCTCCAAACACAATTATTGTTATTTTTATTTACATCTCCTTAACAACAACAATAACAAATGGTTACTGGGGCTCCTGGTGTAGCACTGTCGGGCCAGCCCTGGACTGTGAAACACAAGGTCTGCAGGTCACACAGCCGCTCCTTGGAAATGCTATACAGCGTTGCTAGGAGTCAGGACTAACTCAAAGGCACTTAACAATAGTAACAACAGTGGTTAATGAGGAGTCCTGGTGTGGAGCTGTAAGATAGGCACTGCACTACAAGATATGTTTGAACCACAAGGTCGAGAATTCAAACTCACCAACTGCTTTTTGGAGGAGTCTTGGTGTGGTGCTGTGGAACAAAGCACTGGACCACAAGGTTGCTTTGAACCACTAGGTCGGTGGTTCAAACCCCTCAGCCACCCCTTGGGAGCCCTATGCAAGGCTGCTGAGTCAGAATCAACTCGATGGCACTTAACAACAACAATGGTTAATGATCATAAGCATTTCTTCATGTATTTGCTGTTTGCCTGAATGACAGACATGAGTTTCTTGAATTCCAAAAATTTTTTTCTAGTTACATTTTTAATTTTGGTTTTTAACAAGATGAAGTTTTTCCCTGAATGTAAATCTATTACAGTATTAAGTGCACTATTTATTTAGTTCATCTATTACACACTCTACATGAATAATTTCTTGAACAAAACTGAATTGATTTACAATATACCACAAGGTTCTCAAGTCATAGCACAGTTGCAATAACCTGTTTATGAACACTGTTGATAAGCCTTGGCTTCTATCAGCTAAGGATCTCTTGAAACTGATTTGCCTTTTAAGTTCTTTCAAGCATACTCAGTAGTGTGAAATTGAACTGTGTGTACAGATATTTCAAATTTTGTGAAGTGAGTTATAGTTACAAATTGACTGGAGTTCAAATCAACTTCATCTTCTCCACTCAAAGCCAGGCTTTTTAAGTAGAAAGATTTCTAAAGTTCTTTGAGATGATGATTATTTCACCTCTTATCTTTATGTACATGACATAATCCGGTGGGACTTTGAGACATCCAGCTTTGTTTGGGGCTCTTCTGTTAGATTTTCCACATTGACTGGGGAATCCTATGATGTTGAAAAAAATGTAGGTTCAGGTTCAATATGTTTGACAAGTTTCTTCAATACTAAGACAGATTCATTGTTTTGATACATCACTAGATCCAATTTTCATTTAGTGTTGTTTTTGTTTGTGTGTTTTTTTTTTTTTTTTACTAATACTTTTTTTTTTTTTTTTAAGACAATGGCAATGGTAGGTATTTGAAAAGATTTCTAAAATATTTTATGTAGTATTTTTAGTATTTGGTTTGGACAGTTAGTCCTCCATTATGTCTCACTATAATGTTCAGCTTCTCTTATTTTATTTTAGAATTCTTGGATAGATTTCATTTTGCTTCCACCTCAATTCATTCATCATCAGTGAAGCAAATCTCTCGCTCTCTCACTGTATATGTATATATATATATACATATATATATAATGTATATATATATAGTGAATTAATATACACAATGAATTAAATATCATATATACTAAATACACATGATGAATTAAATATATTTAAAAGATCAATTGCTAGAAAAGGATATCTTGTTTGGTAAATCAAAGAGGCAGTGAAAATGAAGGAAACCTTCAATGACACAGAATCTGCAAAAATGTACTTAAACCTAGCATCGATGGATTGATAATCAGAACACGACTAAAAGAAGATGGAAAAAAATTGATAAAGGAAACAAGAGTAAATTGCTACAATTTGATGAACTTGACCTATACTCATGGAAGTTGTTATTGCTGTTGTTATGTGCCGTGGAGTCGGTTCCGACTCATAGCGACCCTGTACAGGGTTTCCAAGGCTGTAAATTGTAACGGGAGCAGAAAGCCTCATCTTTCTCCCGCGGAACAGCTGATAGTTTCAAACTGCTGACCTTGCAGTTCGTAGCCCAATTCATAACCACTACGCTAGGTAGTTACTCTAAATATCAACAGAGAGGGAAGGGTAGATAGGGACCGGCAACTTAGACATAAAATTGAGGGGGCGATGAAGGCACGAAGTGACTGGCTTACCAGGTTTCAAGGGGGAGCCTAGTTTAATAGTGTGTGGGCTTGAAGAAAGAGTCCCTGCTGAATAGCTGTCATCTTGTCTAGATGGGTCTGGTTAAAAGAGATGAGGATAAGATTTTTATGATTCAACAGTGAGTAATTGATATCATGACTAATTGTGACTCTCACAATTGCAAAGGTAGAAGTTTTGCAACAAAAACAGGGGAGTAGTTAATTTTACAGTCCAGAAACAAAGGAGCCTAGGATTATCAAAGGATAAAGCACAAACAGAACGTGAGACCTTATCCAGAGAAGCAGCAACACCAGATATGGAGGCAGAAATGGAGACATGGAGAGAGGGGACAGCTGAGTAATCTAGATTCATGGTAAGAGAGGGACTAAGAGCTGGTAGCCAGGAGGCAAACTTGCATAATGTGCCCATTGGTGGTGTAAATTATTACGCATGAGTGTTTAAAAAAAAAAAAAAAGCTAACGTGAATAGAAACACTTGTTAACTGATGGTAGATGGAGGGGATTATAATCATTGTAATGAAACAAGGTGTATGATTTGTTGAA